TCGATCATCTGTAATGACTGTGAACATGCTCTGCAAGAGTTTTTAGAATGCACTGATCAGAAATGCTATCATGAGACACATTCACTGTTATTCACCCTAATCACTCATTTTACTCACTATTTAAGGCTTGTAAACACGCCACCATTGTGAACTTCAGAAACACAGACAGGCTGCAACAGGACAGGACACACAAGACCTTTAGTGCAGGTAAATCCTGCAGGTCATCCACATCCTTCTATCATGTTGCATTAAATATCAGGGATTATTTGAACACATCCGCTACTTTTATATGAACTCAGATATTAGATGTTTATTTTATTTAACACTAAATATCTGTAAAATGTCACAAGTGTTCCTGTGAATAGATTTAAAAAAATATAAAGCTGCTTATCACCATTTTTACTCCTATCATAAACATAAATCAGTACAGTATGTAGTCGTGTTGAGAACAGATAAATAAACTGGTGCTCGCATGCTCACCAAAATATTATTTGACAAATTTGAGCCATAAATGAACTATTTCCTGCACCTAGAATGAATGCATTCATTTATATACTAGAGATTTCTTACTGACAAAAACGGGCTTCTCTAAATGACCTGACAAAAAAATTACAACTCTGTGAAATCCTTCAGAAATATAAAACCCAAGTGCTGGCAAACAGGATTGTGAAGCCCAATCAAGAAACGTTTATTATCCTTCTCCTTGTTTTGTGTTCTCCAAACCTTTAAACGTGAAGCAGAATGTTTTTACGTCAGCTAATTTGCACCTTTAAAACGAATGCCAAAATGTCTCTTAGCTGTGCTGAGCACTTTCACATGTTCAAAGAGCTATTGTTAAAACACTTAAACTGACACAGTAAGGGCGAAAATGTCGGATAGAAAAGGGAAAATGGTTGAAAGTGTGAATCATGTCTGTTTTATATAAACGGTGGGTCTTAAATGAGGGGCTTCCCGCAGCTCTAGTGTCGCAGAGAAAGCTTTACGAGAGACCTTTAAGAAGTCTGGGTTGCGTTTTTAGTCTCGGCTTCAGACACCAGATGCTGTTGACACCATAGACCTATGCAAACTGATCCACTCCGCCCTCCTGAAAAGTCAAACCTCCATCTCTAATTTCTTCTTCAGAGAGCGATCGATGTGCTCTTAAGATGCAATGAAAGCTAAAAACAAAAACACTAAATATGTAGATGCTGCAGTTGTCGGATGATTCTTTTTTTTGTTTTGTTTTTTTTGAGCACTAACATTTATAATGACTGCACATTTCAGTGCTCGCACTCCTATGCACTTATATGTACAGTGGAATCTCTCCTAGCTGCTCTTCCCTTTTCTTTGATTTGTGTTTTAAAAGCACTTTTGAAGCCTGCAAGTTCAATATGGTTGATATTTTCATCTCTTTACCCCCTCTGTCTCTTTATTTTGTCAAGCATCTCTTTTATAATGTTTACATTGTTTGTTGAGCCCTCCTTTTCCTCCTACTGTTACCATATGCATACAAGCATATTTAAGTAATAAATTATGGATTGAAAATGAAGTGCTTTGTCATGATTTCATATGTTCTTGTTTTTCTGTGTGATACAATCAGAAAACTGGTAAAACCATCTTGAGATTTTCATTATTTCAAAATTTATTTGAGGGGTAAAAGCATTTACCAATTTTTTTTACTTTTCACATTTGTAGTTTTACAATCACAAAAATCCTCCTGATATAGAATGCGAAACATGGACATTAGTGCATGAGTACATAAAAACTCCAGTCTCCCTGCTCCTGCTAAAGAAAAGCATCCACACAGCCTGATACTACCGACACTGTGTTTCAGCCATGGGGATATTTTGTTAAAGGGGAGGTTTATGGCGATGGCGGCGTGACAGCTGGGAAATATTTCAATCAAGCACGGTGTCCCCTGAGGACCAGGTTTGAGAGCTGCAGCCTTAAATTACCTTAGAACCAAAAAAGATGTTTTTTACAAATGTTCTTTGACAAACCTTTATGGTCCAAAACTAAAGAACTGAATATACTCTGAGATGAAATAACACTCGGATTGATTTTACTATTTAGATGAATTTCGAAGTTTTCTCTGTATTCTGTTTAGGGGTTCCATGGTGACTGAATTATGCTACACATTACCTTTTAGTTTTTATTTCTTATCAAACAGTTTCTTTCTCTTTTCCCTTTAAAATATGCTGGATTTTTTTTTTTTTTTTTTTTAGATCTATCACAGCATCATGTCTAAAAAACTATCAGCCATGTTGCCTTTTTTCTGCTTAACAAAATTAGAGCCTCGATAACAGTATGATTCTTTGAAACAAAATTGCTCACTTATAAAATATCTATTATTGCAGATATTTCAGATGTTTAGAGTAAATAACAGCTTTAAGCTTGGTTTGAGTTTTAATGTTTTAAGTTTCATTTTATTTTCTGTAGAAAGTGACATTAGAGAGCTCAGGCTTCAGTTTATTAACCAAAAATATATTTAAAAATTATTTTCCACACTATTTGTATCAATTTTGTGGAACTTTTTGTCATGAAAACAGTCTAAGCTAGCATTTTCTGGAATACTTTTCTATTTGAAAATGTTGAACTCTCAGTATTTTTGCCAAACGCTGTTAAGAGCCTCAGGCTGAAGATTTTTAAAACTGTTCAGTTGAATTTGTTATTTTAATGTAAGAAAAATAAAACGCTCAAGGAAGGTTAATCAAGGCTCTGAATCATAGCATGTCTACAGATGAGTTTATTTGATACTTTAATATGAATATAGGATTTTAGTACCAATTTTTTTTTTTGCTTTTATCTGCAAGCTTTAAAAAACAATATGCTTTATGTTTTAATCAGTTTACATAGTTTTCATACAGTCTGCTACAAATTTAACATTTGGTGAAATGTAAGCATTTTTTATGTTTAGATTAGTATGAAAAATGGGAAATGAATGGATAAATATAACCTATGATTTATTCTTCTTTTCAATACCGGTGACTATTAAATTAATTTTCCCGCCTAAATTATTCTTTAATTTCTTTCTGTTTCTACAGAGTTAAAACATAACCACTGATAATTATTATACTTCTTATTTGTATTTTAAAATCAGCTGGAAAGGATAGCCAAAAATATTTTTTCCTGTAAAAACTTATGTAACATGAAATATGTAAAGATACCCTGTAGTTAATCTTGCTGGCTGGTATCATTCATTTTGCTCTCAAGGGCAATTTTTGGTGAAACTTCTTTTTAAGCCTTTAATAAACTTTTGTTTGGTATGTGGTATGCTTATGTAGAATAGAAATATCCTATATATTGTGTTTTTTATTGGCCTATGGGGGTTGACATTTATTAACTAGTGGCAGGCAATGAAAAAATGGCAGTTACATGGAAGTAAAAATGTATATTTAAAGAAATAAAGACAGAATGCTGTATCCTCAGATTAAAAGAAATGTACTGCTGAATGGGGTAATTGCAAAATGTGTAACATGGGCTGATATATTTGTGTATATTTTAATAGTTAAATGTAATACATTTATGATTCAGCTGCTGAGTAAAGTCATCTCAATAAAATGTTTTAATGATGCAATATGACATTTTAATATGATTCCTTTTTTGTTTATTAGCTGCTTTTGGAAACAAGTTTTCTATATTTAAAATTTTTGCTTACAAAAATAATAAATAGAAAGCTTTTAGTGTTTATATTTTCAGCCTTTTTTATTATTTTATCTGTTTTTGTTTAGAATAGAATAGAAAATCTTTTTATCGTCCCACAATGGGGAAATTCTGGTGTTTACAGCAGCAAAACGATTGAAGAAAAATGTATGAGAATAACATAATAGTGAAGAGTTAAAAGATAAACAATAAAACACTGTACTGTAAAGTGTTTTAACAACGTAAACTGTGCACCTAGAGAATAAATAACCAATATACAGCTATGGAGATTTTTACAGTAATGGATATTTGAAAATAGCAGCAACATCAGAGATGTACAAAATGACAGCAGCATTTTATTTAACTGACTAAGGTAGAAACTTTGCAAAATCAGCATGAATGTAACAACTTATTGAGGTTGTTGGTAATAGTGGTGGTTATAGAATCTTCCAGCTGCTGGGAGGAAGGATCTGTGATAACGCTCCCTGGTGCATGTAGGGTGCAGCATTCTGTCACTGAAGGAGCTGTCCAGTTCTGCAACAGCTTCATGCATGGGATGGGAGACATGATATGAGATGTTAAATTCAGATCCTTGCTCACTTTGCAGATATTTACATAATAAAATAATTGTGATTTATTCTGGAATAAAAAATTAACTGTAGTGTTTTTTTATCTAACTTTTATATATAAAAATAAGATATATATTTACACAGCAGTTGGGTAAAAAATAATAGATGTTTAAAAAAATGTATTGTCAACAATTATAAGTTTAGGTCCAATCGTGTACATGTCTAAATTGTTTATTGTGTTCTATAATCGAATTTTCCTTTTGGTTACTATACTATACTATACTATACTATACTATACTATACTATACTATACTATTATGTACTTAATAAAATGAGTAAATAAAATATAAATTAACCTTGTTTTACTCTAATAAGAAACCTAGCTTTGATATTATTCTGATGTTTAATTATATTCAGCTTTTTTCTTGAAGTTCATTAATTCGTCCTATAAATAATCCTAGTAATACAAACATTGTAGTGCATTTTTAACCTGGTTTAATTTCTATTATATATTCCCTTTTTGAGTGATTTATTTTCTTTAAACTGCTAATGATTGTCATTAACAAAAAATTAAAATAAAACAGTTGTTGAAAGATTTTGTTTTATTTGAGAAACCTGTTAGAGAATTTGCATGATTTTATTTTATTTAGCTGTCGAGGCTAATTAACTGTATGTTGGATAATAAATATATGAATATTTGAAATAAATGTTATGATTTAGTTTAAAAATAGGAGCGGTAGTCGCTGTGTCATCTCTACCGAACTTGCGCAGGGGCTTTAAAACTCGTCATACTGACGCTCAGTTGAACCAATCACAATGAGGCACCGCCGCGGCTCAGCCAATCACAGCTGTCCTCCCAGTGAACCACCGTCTTGCAAGCTGAAGGATAAATGTGAGTATATACTGCTTTTTCCTTGTTTTTTTTAGGTCTGAATTGTTGCTATTGATGCGTGCTTAATCATTGGGGATGAAATGTGAAACCAGAACTGTTTGGACCCCACGGAGCTGGAATCAGAGCCTTATCCTCAGGATGCACAGTCATCTCAGTGGTCTGCGGCAGGATTCTGCATCAGTTCTGCTTGGATTGACACTTTGATTTCACTTTCCACTGAATAGTCCAAGGGAGATTAAAGTATTTTTTGTTTTTTGTTTGGTTTCAATTGTTTTTTTGTTTTTTAGGTTGTGGAAATAAATATATAAAGCATGTGGTAGCTTTAAGCATTAGATAATTTTGCATCTTTTCAATATCTAACCTGTTTTAACTCCTAATTTCACACCTTGCATCTTATTCTGAGGATGTTACTTGTAAAATAGGTTTTATGTAATAAAGGGATGAGCTTATTGAGCATTTTTATTATTTGCCTTTTAAGGTAGAATGAGAAAACAGAGCTGATGGTTGGAATTAGCAAAACAATAACTAGAAAATGTGGTTCATTATACATAAACCTGCTGATTTTTGATGAATTTCTTCTGCAGTCTTGTAGTTTAAAGACTTTAAGTTCAAATCATGTTGAGATTGGTACTAATATTTTAAATATTTTTAAAAAAGACATTGGGTAACCGGATGTTTGATCACTCTACTGTTTAGTCTTTTACATATATAGTTTCCTAACAAAAAATACATACAGTCATCAGTAAAGATGATTTGAATCATATTTTTTACATATTTTAAAAGCACTGGGGGCAACAAGTTGCCTTTGGTTTAAGTGTAAAATTTCACAAACACGCATCTTTATTTACCAGCAAGTTTCTTCAGATCTTAGGCAACTAAAGTGGCCCACATTAATGGTCAGACCAGTGAAACTCTTTACACTGCTAGCTGTGAAGCATGAGTGTGGTAGCATCCTGATGAGGTTCTGTTTTAATGAGAAGGCTGACCTTAGATGGGTAAAACTCAGACAGAAGATGATCTTGAACACCTGTTGGTTTAGGAATGGATAAGTCAGGCTAATGGTGAGTTTCTGTAGTCGCTTAGATCTCACCTGTGATCTCTGGATCCGAACCAGAAGACCAAATCCATCATTCCAGAAAAGAAGAGTTGTGCATCTTACCAGGATGATTATTTAGGGGGTGTTTAATTTTGAATCTGTATTGACTGAAGGAAACCCACAGTTTTTAATGTTGTGTTACACAATACTAACTGCTAAAAGGACCGTTTCAATAAAACATTAGCTTATTTATGACATCCATGCCCCTGATTAGTTTGTCCAAACTTCTGACCAGAACTGTTGTAAAACCACATTTTTTCCTTCCTTTCCTGCAGCAGACCCTCCTCCTCATCATGGCATCTGGAGCTCTGTTCCCCAGCCTGGTGTCAGGCTCCCGCGGCTCCTCCAGCAAATACCTGGTGGAGTTTCGGGCCGGTAAGATGACGATGAAGGGAAGCACGGTGACCCCCGACAAGCGTAAAGGTCAGGTCTACATCCAGCAGACGGATGACTCTCTTATCCACTTCTGCTGGAAGGATCGCACCACCGGGAATGTGGATGATGTAGGTAAACAGGCTGACCCAAAGAGGAGGGGTGGGTTTCTAAAATGACCTTCGCTCCTCCGTTTTAGGACCTGATTATCTTCCCTGATGATTGTGAGTTCAAACGGGTCAACCAGTGCACCACCGGACGGGTTTACGTACTGAAGTTTAAAGCCGGCTCCAAAAGACTCTTCTTCTGGATGCAGGTATGGAGCTCAGGGAGACTCTTTTATTACAGCTTATTCATGAGAATAGTTTTTGGAAACAATTACAAATATGCATTTTAGTCTTTTAAAAAGTCCGCCCCCCCCAAAAAAACCACAAAAAACAAAAAAAAAACAGTAAACTAAAAAAAAACAGAAGTAAAAACTGTAGCAGAGGTTAATCCCCTGCTATGAGTTTTGAAAACAGCCTCCCAATGAGGCCCATCAGAGCGGTGGGAAACTAAACTTAAGTGATTCAAAAACTAAAGGACTAATTTACCTGCTGGTTAATTTTTCCATTAACGTTATGACCATCGTTTGGATTTTTTTTAAAGGGAGAAGCACGTAATGGTGAAACAGAAAGAAAAATGTTCATTCTTTTTTAGTTTTACAGATAAAAATCTAGAAACATGTGATGTCTGTTTGTATTTAGACCTTTCTACTTTGATATCATTGAATAAAATCCAGTTCAACAAACATAGGTCACCTGGAAGAGCCCGGCTGGCTGGGCTGTAGTATGAACACACCTGTCCTGTGAAGTCTAGAGATTTTTTAGAGACCAATAATGGAAAAAATAAAATTATACGGACCATGGAACAGAGCCGGCACATTATAGAGAATTTTAAAGCAGATTTAGGTTATGAAACAATATCCAAAGCTCTGGGGATCTCATGTAACAATGTCCAACCATTCATCTGAAGCAAGGACTTTACTGCTGTCCATCTAAAGTAGCAGGTCAAGCAAGGAGCGCATCAATCAGAGCCGTGGGGAAGAATAAATCATGTTTTATAGAAAGACAAAAGAAAATCCATATTCAGTTCAACCAGGTAACATGTGGGGAACACAGAAAAGTATGCAAGCAGGTTTTCTAAACAGATGTGTATTTAAAATTGTCCTCAATTGAAACAACGAATATATGTATATACACTACCGTTCAAAAGTTTGGGGTCA